AACAACGACAGTAACAATGGACGAAATCTTATCAAACTTTATAAAAGTCAATGATCAACTTCAATGTAAACATTGTACAGAACCAAAGGTAAGAGTAACCGATTTATAATCAGACTGAGAAAGAGACTCGTAGAAGAAGGACGTGCGTCTCTTTTTTCCTCTGCATTTATCTTAGCAAGAGTTTTTGAGAAAGTTGGAGCTCTCTGGTGCAGAATTCTTTAGAATTTTCTGCTTAACAGATAAGAAAAATGCGAAACGTAACCCCTATTTTACTCTGAGAAGTTTAAGGTGAAAAAAACGAACCGGTTCTAAATCGGACTTTTTTAAGTCTTCTCTCTATCCTGAATTTGATGCGGCCTTGAGGCAAGCTAAATCTTCTGACCTTACTGTGACAATCTAGGAGAACTTCGGCACTGCTACTTGCCATAAATTTCTGGTCTTGCATGACCTTTCCTTTTCAGGATAGCAGTAGTTTTCTTTTCACCAGAAAATTTACGTTTAGAAAGGTTTCTCAAACTAACTTAATTTTGTTCTGTTTTCTTTAATTGCAGTTTTTTCCAGTAAGTAGAACAGATGGAAATCTTAGAAGTCATCTAGGACGTACACACAAGGGAACGCATGGACATGTGCTATATCCGTCTCAACGACGTCAAAGTCAGAAACCAGCAAGGCAAATAACGGCTGAATTAAAAAGAAAGTTAGATGATTCATTAATTAAAGCTATTATTGTTGATGGACGATCTTTTAACGATTTCTCAAAGCCCGGAATTATTGATTTCCTCGATTTAGCAATTCCCGAGTAAATGAATTGATTTTATTTTATACTTATAAGTCAGTACGCCACTTTTCTGGCAATTCTATGTCTTGCCGAAAAAAGTCGAGCGTCTTGTAATAATCAGTGAAAAAGCTTCAAACGCTTTCAATAAATTAATTCTGTTTTTGGTAAAAGATGTCTTTCTAGTGCTGGGCTTGTTCTAGTAGCGCACTATTTTCCTGATACAGATTTTTCTGTTTTTATCCTTTTCTAAAAACCCTCGAAGTACACTAATATAGACAAAGAGGTTTTTTTGAAAATCACACTGAAGTTTACAGTCCTAGGATAAGTATATAATGTTGAAAAAGGTTAGGCTTAATTTTATTTGATAATCGCTGACTTTGTCTCGGTGGAGGCATAGAAGTTATACTAGCTGTACTAGCTATACTAGCTGTATGAGNAGCGCACTATTTTCCTGAGGAATTCTTTAATATCTAATTTTTTCTTGAAGGTAGCTGTTGATTAGATCACTCGAGTTTCTACAAAAAATTCAGAAATAAAGGGCGTTTTTTTTATACTGAATCGCTGCAGGAGCTCTTCTCTTCGCAGACCTTCAATAGTCACTCGTATGACTATATAGAAGTCTATATATTTTTAAGGTATAAAAAACGCTTGTCGTTTGAGAAAACTATACTTTTAGCCTATTTTAATTCACTAGAAACTATTGAAATACATCTATTTACTGAATATATATTACTCTAAGCATATAATTTAGAAGAAAATGTTTCGAGAACTTCTGATTTTTTCAAAATCTTTTATAACTTTTTCTTACAATAAATGTTAATGTTAATGTGTAATTATGTGAGCATTTATTCTTCAATTATGTCACATACGTCATTGATGTATCGCAGTGTCTAATGTGATTGAAAAAAAAGACATTACTTATCGAGTACTCCTCTTTTACGCGATCCACCTTAGATTGCTAAAGCAATATAAAAATTAAGAAACATAGACTCTCTCTGACACACTCATGTGGAAAAAACTTTCACTTTCTAACAAAAATTCACGGAAAGTTTTGCTCTTCATTTTCTGTGTCAGATTTTTTGTTCAGTAGACTCCAGATATTCTGTTCGAACTCAGATATTAGGACACATAGCAGATAAAGATTTCTCTGTATAGTATTTTCACTGATACTGAGCAAAGATACTCACGGTTAGACTAAAAGCTAAAATTTGAAAGAGGACGAACTATTGATTTATCTGTTAAAGTGTTCTGATTTCATTCGGTGATTTTCTACTTCGAACTGAAACTATTTTTACTTGTTTTATTATTTAAGTTATCGTCCTCCTCATCGCACAACTATAAGATGTCGTATTCAGAAATTATATGCGGAAGAACGAGAAAATCTTCGTCAACAATTATCAACAGTACAAAATATTGCTTTAACAATAGACGTTTGGAAATCTTCATCACATATTTATTATTTATGTTTAAGTGGACATTATTTCGACAATAATTACGAATTAAAACATAATGTATTAGCATTTCGTCGATTTATTGGATCTCATACAGGACAACGTCTTCAACGATTTCTAGAAAATGAAGTAGAAAAAATAAATATTCAACATAAAATTAGTGCAACCACGTGTGATAATGGTGCGGATATTCGATGTGCCATTACAGCATCAAATGTATTAGGACCACGATTCTCCTGTTTGGCACATGATCTGAACCTTACTGTTAAAAATGGTCTTTGGCTATACAAACAACCAAAAGGTTCAGAGTAAGTAAAGAGTTTAGTTAGAAAAAAGGCTGTAAAGGATCAACACACTGATAGTCTGCACTTTGAACTGTAAATAAAATGTTGAAATAATTAAGGGATAGAATGAAACGGCTTAGAGACTTGATATGATGCTAACGAATGTATCTATTTCCTTTTTCTCTTAGAAAATCATCAACAACAGCTGCAGCCACAACAATGTTAAAAGAAAATGAACTAGTTGAAGATGATGATGACAATATTTCAATTGCAGATGGTGAAGACGTTCCTGATGAAATAATTGAGACATATCTACCTCAAAGTGAAGAAGATGAAAAATATGAAGCATTTGATCTTCAAGTACAGCAACAGGAAGAAGAAATAGCTGATGATATGGGGGAAGAGGAAGAAGATTTAGCAAAAGCTGTATCAGAATTAGATCAGGAAATTTTAATTGAAAATTGTCGAGCAAATCCTAATCATTTACTCAGAACAATACATGTGTTATTTAAGCGTATTAGAAAAATTGTTAGTATTATGAATAACTCAAGTGTTCTTCTTAGATTTGTTAGAAAACAGATTGAAGTTAAAATTGAACATGAAAATAGTAGACTTCCATTTAGTGAATCACGTCTACGAGCAAAGGATTTCGTAATTGATTTAGAAGTTAGATGGAATACTACATACGAAATGTTGAAACGTTTTTTATTTTATCGTTCTATCATCACAAATATCACTGAAAATCCGTCAGATGAAATTGGAATTCAACAGAAACAATGTAAACAATTGGAAGCATTAGCATTTTCAAGAACTGATTGGAGTTTGATGAAATCAGTAAAAACGGTATTGCAAGATTTTTATGAAGCAACATCACTTCTCTCTGGTCAATTGTATCCTTCGAATGGATTTGGTTATTTTGTCGTGATGGCATTGAAAAAATACTTATCACAATCAGCAGATGATACAGTTGAAGAATTACTGAAAGCTGAAATAATTAAAAAATTTAGTCGTTATTTCGGTCGTGCATTTATTTCTGATGAACAGCAAAAATCATTTCTCGTAAGTTAAATAGGTGGAATTTTTCTCCTAAGGCTAGAAAAATTCCTGCTAGTTTCGGTAGCTTTACTTGTGCATACAGTTACCTCAGTAGAACCGATAGGCTATTTAAAAGTGTTTGTGAAAAATCTCTTGTTGACGCAATATATCCACCGTGAATAAGGCGATCATTTTCATTTTTGTGAGACTTTATCATAGAGTCTATGTGAGACAGACTTTAATTCACATAAAAGAAAGAAAGAGTAAACACCATATAAACTTTCGTAGATTTTACTCTATCTAGCTAGTAGGGATGCAACAGTACCGGTAAACTGTCCTTAACGGTTCACCAGTTCACGGTACCGGTTCCTTAACGGTTCACCAGTTCACGGTACCGGTTCCTTCTAGCATCAGAGTG